GGAAGGCTGAGGCGGAAGGATCGCCAGAGCCCAGTGGGTCAAGGCTGCGGTGGCCGGGAGTGGCCACTGCACTCCAGTCTGGGCGTGGTAGTGCGCGCCTGTAATTCCAGCTACTTGGAAGGCTGAGGCGAAAGGATCACCGGAGCCCAGCAGAAGAGGCTGTGGTGGCCGGTGGTGGCCATTGCACTCCAATCTGAGCAACAGAGTGAGAATCCAACTAAAAAAAACCAAGAAAATAAAAAAAGAACATGACCAGTGGCCCCACCCCCTCAACTACCTAGTGTAGCTGGAACGAGCTAACAACTAGCAAATTTAGCCAAAGGACCCAAGCATATGCAGCTTAGCCCCTTCTGTCACTCTTTTTTTTTTTTTGAGTTGGAGTCTCACTCTGTCGCCCAGACTGGAGTGCAGTGGCCGCTCCTGGCCACTGCAGCCTCAACCTGCTGGTCTCCGGCGATCCTTTCGCCTCAGCCTTCCAAGTAGCTGGAATTACAGGTGCACGCTACCACGCCCGGCTGATTTTTTGATTTATTGTAGAGATGAGGTCTCACTGCCCAGGTGGGTCTCGAACCCGCGGACTCAGGCAATCCACTCACCTCAGCCTCCCAAAGGCACAGGATTACAGGCTGAGCCACCGAGCCCAGCTTCTGTCACTCTTGAAGAGAATGGGGAGAGGGTCATGTAGATCTCGCCCATGAAAAAATGTGTTACCCCTTACCTTTGGTCATGGGGCAAGCAAGTCAAAAGACCTGTCCTCCTGACACGAGGGTGAGCTGGCCAGCCCATTCAGCTCCATATCATGCCCTCCAATGTCACCATATCAGAAGTAAAGGTGTGATTTTGGCCTCTTTCTGCCTACTCCTGCCTCTGCATTTTTTTTTGAGTTGGAGTCTCACTCTGTCGCCCAGACTGGAGTGCAGTGGCCGTTCCCAGCCACCACAGCCTCGACCTGCTGGGCTCTGGCGATCCTTCCGCCTCAGCCTTCCAAGTAGCTGGAACGACAGGCGCGCGCTACCACGCCCGGCTAATTTTTTGATTTATTGTAGAGATGTGGTCTCACCAGGTTGCCCAGGCGGGTCTCGAACCCACGGGCTCAGGCAATCCACTCACCTCAGCCTCCCAAGGTCCAGGATTACAGGCTGAGCCACCGAGCCCGGCTCATCTGCATCTTAATTGGCTCCAACTCTGGGGAAGAAGATTTTATCTGCTGCCTCCCTATGCTCCAGCAATAGTTATCTCAACCCTGACCTAAGTTATTTCCTCATCCTTCGATTTCCACGGCCTGGGGGGAATAAAGAACAGACAGGCACTCCCACCACTTACTGTATTGCTCTGCCAGTACAGGCACCAGCCCACACTTGCCCGCCACGTAGAGAAATCCTGCATCCAAGCTCATGGCATCAGCGTCTCCTTTCTGAAGTTAAGAAACAAATCAAAAGCACCACAGTGAGGCCACTCCTGTCCTTCTAACCTTCAGAGGTTTCTACCTCATCATCTTCATGTCATATGTCCTCATAATTAATCAATTCGTGGCACACCCAAGGCTTCTACCACGTAAACAGGGAGTTTAGAAAACAGGACGTGCTTTTGGCCTGTCGACCCTGAAACAAGTGCCCAGCCCAGGTCATGCTCCCTGGACATCTCTGTGTCCCCTCAGGAGACCCATGCTGGGTACCGGACATGCGCTCGCCCCACCTCCTTTGTGATTGTTATCACTCAACTCAGAGTTGGCCAGACTCAGGGATTGTGTTCAATCTCATTCTATGGAACACGCTTTCTTTCAGATGATGGAATTAAAATCTGTTCCCGTAATTTCACTAGCACTACTCAGCACCCTGGCACACCAAATATTTTTAATAAATGATTCATTTCTCTAAATAATCCATTACTAATTAGCATTTTATTTTATCAATTATTTTTTCTAACAACAGAGCAAAAAAATGTACACTTAAAGATAGAATTATTGAGATGAAAATGTACAGGTTGGGCTCAGTGGCTCAACCTGTAATCACAGCATTTGGGGAGGCCAAAGTGAGTAGACTGCCTGAGCCCATGGGTTTGAGTCCAGCCCGGGAAACTTGGCAAGATCTCGTCTTTACAATAAATCAGAAATTAGCTGGATGTGGTAGCGTGCGCCTATAGTTCCAGCTACTTGGAAGGCTGAGGCAGAAGTATTGCTGGAGCCCAGCAGATCGATACTAGGGTGGCCATGATTATGCCACGGCACTCTAGCCTGGGTGACAGAGTGAGACTCCAACTCAAAAAAGAGTCAAAATAAAAATAAATAAAAAACACGTACATACACAATCTTTGCTTTTGACCTGTTAACTGCCCTCACAGAAATCTAAAAACAGTAACTATAGCAGCAGAAAGTTACCATGCCCTTAGTATGTGCCAGTGATTAACACTTTACAGTGATTACCTCATGTACTCCTCACAAGCCTCAATAGGTACCAGAAGTTTAGAGTAGTAAACTGAAGCAGAGAGAGGTTAAATACTAAGTCCACCTAAGACTTAAACTTGGGCAGTTTAATCCCTTGGCTTCTGCTCATAACCGCCAAAGCCCACATCCTAAATACTAAACTACAGACATTGCCTCATCTATAAATTAGGTAAAAATTATACCTCATGGGCTTATCATGAAGATTAAATGAGTAATGCAAGTCAAGAGCTCATAAACATGCTTGGTATGTAGTTAACTCCAAACATATTAGTTATCATTAATATTAAAGAAATACTCGGAAATAATGACAGCTACATATACAAAGATTTGCAATCCCACATTGTCTATAAGAGTGAAGGATTTAAAAATAACTCAAATATAGACATTGAGAAATTGGTTAAATAAATTGAGGTGGAAATACTTGGTAGAATATTATGCAGCCATTAAAAATATTTTAAGTGAATATCTTACTACTTAAGAAAGCACACCATCTGTGCCCAAGAGTTTCAATAATAATAATAACAATAGCTAACGTTTATTGACTGCTTACTATCTGCCAGGCAAGGATATAAACACTTAAATGTATTCAGTTCTTAGACAAATTTAAGAGGCTATAAAACCATCAAGATCTTAGGCTGGTACCAGGAAAGTTTACAAAAATTGAGAAAAACCTATAGTCTCCTAAGTTAATCAGTTTTTCCATCTTTCATTTATAAATTTTTCTTAATCAAAAAATAGTATCTGCTCATAGAGAAATAGAAAGTTAATAACAACACAATGTAATCTCTCAAAAATCACGTGTGATTATCTCCAAGTGATGAAGTTATGAATGGTTTTATTCCTTTTACATTTTTCCACCAGCAGTTGATATTTTTATCATCAGAAAAAAATTAAACTAAAGGACTAAAAAGGTTGATCTGCTTTCAGAATCCACAGCGGCCCTCACCACACCCTGGAATGCCATCCCCCTTCCCAGGGGTCCTTGGCAGGACACCCTTCCGAGCTCCCAGACTCCAGAGCTGAGTCCAGGTCTTGTACTGGCTCTGTGTTTCTGCCTAACCCAGACTGGAGGGGCCTGTGGAGTGAATGGGGTAGGGGGATTGTGGTGATGGGAGGGTACAGCACACAACGGGGGCATCTAGGTCTTGGACTGGTTCTGTGTTTCTGCCTAACCCAGACTGGAGGGGCCCGTGGAGCGGGTGGGGTAGGGGGATTGTGTGTGGGGAGAGGTGCAGCCCATAACGGGGACATCTCAGCACGGAGGCTGATGAGGAGGCATCTGAGAAGGAGGTCTTCAGTGCTGGACTCGGCAGAAGAGTTGGGGTCTGAGCCCAGTGGTGAAAGCAGGGCCTTCCTACCGTGATGGCGGCGATGCAGTCCTCAGGGGTCTTCTCCGTGGTGCACTCCAAGGCGCCACCGCTCAGCACACTCCACTCATCACACTTGGCCTTCTCGTGGCGGCCCACGGTGCACCACTGCACCCTCTGGGAGTCTTCCACAACTAGGCCGGGAGGAGAAGATCAGTGATCCAAAGGAAGCCCCAGAGGGGTCTGGGGTCTCAGTGGCCCCAGCTGCAGCGTGGTTGCCCAATGGGGCTCTCACTGCCAGCAGCAGAGTTGGCCTGCCTCATTCCCACACCATCACTGCCTACTCACCCAGGATACACGGGGAACTGGGCGCTCAGAAAGAGCAGTGAAGGCAGAGCCCCTCCCCTGCCTCCTAACCCCACCCGCACAGGCGCCACCCCCAGGGAGGCCTCTCTGAGCGCCAGCCCAGCTCAGGACCCTCCGGGGTTTTCTTCCACAGGACTGGGCTTCCTGTCCAGGGGGCATGCCCCCGTTGGCCGTCTGTTCTGTGGTGGGTGGGCTTGCTTGCTCTCTCTCCACTCAGGGACTTGGCTCACCACGTATGCCCATGTCTAATATGGTGGCTGCCCTTCTGTAGATGCTTGATCACTGTTGCGTGACTCAACGGAGGGAAAAAATACAAGAAGAAAGGAATGAACCCTAGGGGTCCAGTGGAAGGCGGGAGCTGGACTAAGAACCTCTGGAATTCCAGTTCTGTTCCGGAGAGTAGCTGTGGCCATGTGCCCACTTCCTTTCAGGAGGAACTATTTTCCCTGCCAAACAGACCTGTGCTGGGTGGAATGACCCCAGTTAACACAAAGGAACTGGAACCATCATTCCTTCAAGTTGTCTATCATAGGAAGGTGAGGGACCCAAGAGACTCAAAAAAGCTATACTTACTGTAAAAGAAGCGTTCACTGTATTTTATATATCCCTGCCTCACGTTTGCTATATTTTATGAATTCTTAGTATTTTAAATCCTACCTCAGACCCTGTAGGACTAGGCATATTCCTTTGCCTGGTAGTGACCGTGATTGTAAAATTTTACAATGTTTTAAGCAGTATGTGTACTTAGAACTCTTGTTAAGCTCTGTTCGCCCCAATTGCCATGCTGACTTCTGCTGCTGCAATGGGATGTAAATGTTAAGCAAACAAGCCCCTCCTGAACATTCCTTTGTTTAGATCAGCAGACTTGGTGGCGCTAGCCACCCTCTCGGTGGGCTCCGCTGGGCTCTGCGTTGTTTCAAACCTGCCTGCTTGCTCAAGTTAATTTACACGCAGTGCTTATCTGACATTCCACTCTGCCCGTTTAACAGTTCCCCGTCAATCACAGGTAGCTGAGCTAGAGCCTGCGCAGACCAGAAAAAAACCTACCAATCCCAAGTGCCCCCGTACCCATTAGAAGAAATGACCCAATCATGTAAAAACAAGTTTAAAGTTCTTTCCCCTCCCTCTGTAATTGTGCATAAAACCTGCCTGCTATACTGAATCGAGGCTCTCGTCCCTGAAGTCGCTGCATCGGCTTCAAACGTGAGCCTAGACTTGAGCCTGAATAAAGACCCTCATGTGTTTGTATCAGAGCTGGCTCTTTGTGGTCTCTCGGATTTAAATATCGGGTTTAACAAAGGTACTTAAAACCACTTATAATCACATAATTTAGGCCTTTCTCTCAGCTCCAGAAAACCCCCTCATTAACCCCATGCAGAAAGGTGCTGGGAGGGTTGAGGGATGCAAGGAGGCCTGAGGCCCCATCGAGACCCTCTTCAGATGCAGGAAAGAACCAGAAGACCCCATGAGGAGCTCCGCAGGCCAGTGGAGTTGAGGTGAGGCTCACAGGCACTGGGAAAGCTTCAATTGACGGCCGTCACCCACCCTGCCACCTAGACTGGCCAGGAACTACATACCTCTCTTTAGATGCTGAAGAGCAGAAAAATACTCATATCCCAGGTATAGCTTGGTGTCCATCTTGGGGGGGACCCTTAAGAATCCCTGAGCAGCATCGGTGAACAGCAGATCTTCCCCATGAGGAGAGCCAAAGAGCTGGAATTCTGTTGATTTGTCTTTTCCAAAATGCTCCTGTTCAAAGGATTTAAAAAAAAACAGAGGAGGGAGGCTGGCACGAAGGCAAAGGTAAAGTAAACCCCAAGCCAGAGGAGAGTGTCAGCAGCAACACATGAGCCCTAAAAGTGAAAGCGGTGGCCAAGGCCCTCTGATGTCCCAGGCCCATGCTGCTCTCAATACCATCCAGGGAATTCTTCGTGCAAACCTCAGCCCGCCTGCCTGTGTGGCCTCAGGGAGATTGCCAGGAATGCCCCCAGATCTGTACCGAGGTTGCTGCGTGCCAGGCCCCTGCCCCTCTCTACCATGGGCTGTTGCCCTGTGTCCCCCATGGGGCTGTCAGTGAAGGTCATCTCTCTCAGCGGTCTCATCCCCCAAGTGCCTGTGGGGTCTTCATCCTGAAGTGGTTGGTGACCCAGAACTGTGGGCAGAGGTCAGGCCTCCCGGACCCCTCCTGACCCCACCCCAGGAATGCCACTGGAGAACGAGCTGTTGGACACCAGACAGGCCCTGACCCTTTCTGGCCTCCAAAAAGCAGGAGCTGACTGGCCCAGGGCACTTCCTGACACAGCTATGGTAGCAGCTGCCCACAGGCCACGTGAAATGTCTGGTTGTTGCTTTTGCAGCAACTCCCTCCCCAGCAGACCTCCACACGTCCTTGGGGGGCACAGATTACCTCCCAGGACCAGGAATCTTCCCAGACACACCGCAAAGCAGCCCCTCTGTGTTCCACAAAGGACACAGCCCACGTCCCCAGGGCAGTGAGAGTCCATCTGGTGAGAATCCACGCGTGAACTAGTGTCGCCTACCCTTCACGGTGAGCGTGTTGAGGGCAAGTCTTTGGCTAGTTCATCTCTGAATCCCACCCTGCGGAGCAGCGAGTGCTAACTGGGGAGTTGGGTGCAGGATCACATGCCTTGGGATGACGCAGAGCACTTCGTGGACGAAGAGAGGGCTTCTGTGCTCACAGAGGTGTTGGGGGCAGGATCGTATGCCGTGGGATGGCCAAGAGCACTCGTGGAGGAAGATGGGGCTTTCCCATTGTGTCCTGATGTGGCAGGATGCGGCATATGCTCAAATATATTTCTTGTATGATTGAGTGAATAAACACAGAAACCCATGTAGCTGATTCGGGATCAGCAGTTGGCCTCACCTGGGCTGCCACTAGCCCAGCGGCAAGAAGGAGGGGTTGATAGCAGTTAAAAGGTATTTCCTTTTGAAAGGCAAGTTGCAACTTTAAAGACCCGCCCTGCGCCAGGCAGCTTTTGTTTGGGAAAGGCCAAATGGCCCAAAGACTAGCCATGTAATGGATATGCAAAAAGAGTGGCTAATTCACAGACTTATCCAAAAACCCCCCTTCTGAAGTGGACGGTTTACAAGCCTGCAGTTCCTGGAAACCATTTGTTCTTTGGAAAATCTGATTTTGCTGAGTACAACCTTGTAAGATTCCAAAGGAAATATGTAATCACTCAACACGACTCCTTCCCTTACCTGAACAAGGGTATAAGACTCCAGGTCACCTGTTCTGGGGCGCTCGGTCTGGACGCATTAGTTCCACTGAGCCCGCTGTGCTAGCCAGCGTAATAAAGTGCCACTTCCTATAATAGTCTTGGTGTCACGGTCTCTCTATTTTTCCCGCTACACTGCAGGAGGAGCTTCTGCAGAGAGGCTTTAGCCCACCAGGTTGGTGATGCCAGGTGAGGGTTTTATGGCCTCTGATTCCAGAATATGGACAGACTGAGGGGCTTGTCAGTGACATGTGGCCCAGACTGAGGGGCTTGTCAGTGACATGTGGCCCAGCTCCCACTGTGACCTGATCACACAGAGGGCAGGGAGGAAAATCCCTCAATTCAAGCAGGAAGCCCTAAGCAGGAGAGGAGGACGCAGCGGGGATACCTGGGCCCGGCTGAGAAGCTCCCAGATCAAGTCCTCCTTGCCTCCCATGCTCCGGGCCATGACAGCGTGGGAAGGGACCCGGGCCAAGTGGCAGTCCTTGTATGCATCAACCGGCTTCCGGGTGTTGTCCGGGCAGAGCAGCTCATACTGGTCCCTGCTGGCCTTCTGTGTCAGGTGCTCTGGGGAGAGAAGGCCCGGGTGAGCCAACGCAGGAGATCTGTGAGCCATCTTTAGATAACCCCTGCTGCTCACTGGACCACAAAATGCGTGACCTGACGAGGACTGAGAATCTGTTCCACCCACATTTCATACAGAAAAGTACAGGAGGCCTCAGGAGTGAAATGGCAGGCTCACAGTCTCACTGCAGGTGGACATGGGCTGGAGGCATGCTGGGCAGGACCCTCCACTGCCCCACCTTCTGGCTCTTCCACGGAAACAGTAGCAGCAGATGCAGACTGTGCACTCAAGGCCCACCACAAACGTGCTGAAGTCTCTCCAGACCCTAGCTGGTGGAGGCCAATGGTATGAAGATCCCATTTTGCAGATGAAGAAACTGAGACCCAGAGACTTATGGTAACTTGTTAAAGTCTCAGCCAGTCTGGGGCTGATACATGACCATGCCAAAACAGCCTGGGTCCCCCACTAAAGGGGCCACATTCCCCGGGGGCACAGCCTGCTGGGCAAAGGTGATAGGAGGGTTGAGGGATGGGGGGAGGCCTAGTCAAGGCACTCTGCAGGTACAAGGAAGAACCAGGCGATCCTACAAGGAAAACAAGCTCTTTGGTTCCCGTGGTCTCGGGATTAGAGAGTGCTATGGATTCAACGAATTCATAGGTTGAAGTCCTAGTCCCGAGAACCTCAGAATGTGACCTTATTTGGAACTAGGCTCTTTGCCCATGTAATTAATTAAGATGAAGTCATCCTGGAATAGTCCAGTATGACCGGTGTCCTTATAAAAAGGGGAAATTTGGACATAGAAATGCATGCACACGGGGAGAAGAGCATGTGAATACAAAGGCAGAGACTGAGGTGATGTGTCTGTGCGCCAAAGAGTGCCGAAGACTGCCAGCCAACCATGGGAAGCTGGAAGAGGAGCCTGGAATGGACTTTCGCTTACAACCCTTGGAAGGAGTCGCCCCTGGCAGCGCCTTGATCTGGGAATTCTAGCCTCCAGGGGTATGAGACAACACATTTCCATTGCTTAAGCCACCCAATTAGTGGTCTTTTGTTTCAGTTCTCCTTGTAAACCAATATAGAAGGTCTTTGGAGTTGACAAAATACTACACTGAAAGAGAAGGGATACGATTAGGGCTCCCGTGTGTGGTTACAATTTTAAACCAGTATGTCTAGAGAAAAATACATTTTAATTCCTTATACTAAAAGAAAAGAGTTAAAATGATTTAGTAAGCCAGGCTTAGTGGCTCAGCCTATAATCCCACGCTTTGGGAGGCTGAGGTGAGTGGATTGCCTGAGCCCGCGGGTTTGAGACCCGCCTGGGCAGCTTGACGAGACCTCACCTCTGCAATACATCAAAAAATTAGCTGGGCGTGGTAGCGCGTGCCTGTAGTTCCAGCTACTTGGAAGGCTGAGGCGGAAGGATCGCCGGAGCCCAGTAGGTCGAGGCTGCCGTGGCCGGGAGCGGCCACTGCACTCCAGTCTGGGTGACAGAGTGAGACCCCAACTCAAAAAAAAAATGATTTAGTAATGTCCCAATTAAATTGGAAGAATCAATATGACCTAACGGTCAGAGAGAAATCCTTTTTTCACCTTGTCACTCACTAGCCTAGGGCAGCCGTGGCAGACATGAGCTCTCCACCCATACTCACTGTCACCTTACAACCCAGCCATGTTCTCACAAAATGCCCCTGAAAGGCAAGAAGGGGTCTTATATAATAGCAAATAAGCAATTTTTGGCAAAGGTAAATCAGGATGGTCTCTGTTATCTCCACAGAGAGAGGATGTTTTCAGATTCTTCAGGGCCTCCTCCACTGGCCTGAGTGGTAACCTGAGCACCCAAAGGGCATGATGGTAATTATCTGGAACAACTCGATTCTGAAAGACGAGACCCGTAAGTGACCCCAACTAATTATATTTGTTGTTAACAAAACATGCATCAATGGCCAAAACACTCACAAGCTAAGTCAATGTGTAAAAATGAGGAGACGGTAAATTGTGAAGGACTGAACAAAGGAACAGAGGACACTGACGTCATACTTCGTGTGAGGGAAAGACCCTGGGCTGCTGAACAGAGACCCATGGAAAAAGAGAGAACTTAAGCGTCTCCTTTAGGTAGCTGACATGTGTTATAAAAATGATCTCAGCCCAGAGAATTCACATTTGAGTTCTAAGCATTTCAAACTGTACAGATATGTTCTATATCTAATTGAAATACAATTGGTCATAAAACCCCGAATCTATAAGCTCATCTTGTTGGAGATGTTAATTTGTTTGTTTGTTTCTGATAAATTGTCCAAAATTCTGGAAAGGTTTAGGGATTTTTTTTTTTCCAAATATAAAAATAAAAAATGTTGCTCATGGTAATAATGCTTTTACAACAGATTAAATTATACATGTGCTAATAAGTTCTGAAATATTTACAATAATGTATGTGTTTTACTCAAGGTAAAGCACACACTGCTTTAGGTGTCTGAAGCATTTAGGAGACATTTATAATGAAATGTTCAGGAGAATGGGATTAAGTTTAAAACTGATTATTTCAATGACTTAAGAGAATCAACTTCTAAAACTTGTTTTGTTCTATTGTTGGTAAGAACTGTTTAGATAATCATAAAATTTACTTAGATTTATAAAGGGAACAAATTGAGCACTAAACAGAGTACAAATAGAGTAGCCCCTCCTTATCCGTGAGGAATGTGTTCCAAGACCCCCAGTGAATGCTTGAATGCTTGAGTAGTGCCAAACTCTACATATACTATGTTTTTTCCTATACAAATATACCCACGATTAAGTTTGGTTTATAAACTAGCCAGTCAGAAATTAACAACAATAACTAATACAAATGAAACAACGATGATAATATACAATATACTGTAATATAAGTTATATGAATGTGGTCTCCCTCTCTCTCAAAAAAAAATATATATATACTTTTTTTGTTTATTTAACTAGAGATGAGGTCTCGATATGCTGCCCAGACTGGTCTCGAACTCCTGGCCTCAAGCAATTCTCCCGCCTCAGTTTCCCAAAGTGCAGGGACTAGAGGTATGAGCCACCATGCCCAGCCAAAATATCCTTTTGCACTGTGCTCACCCTTCTTCTTGTGATGATGTGAGATGATAAAATGCCTACATGATAAGATGAAGTGAGAGGATTGCTGCAGGCTTTGTGATGTAAGTGGAAATTTCAGAAATAAACAATTTGTAAGTGTTGAGTTGCACACTGTGCTGAGTAGCATGGGAAAATCACACTGCCCTGCCCTGTCTCACCCTAGACTTGAATCTCCCTTGGTCCAGCGCCTCCACACTGCCTCTGCTCCCACCCATCAGCCACTTAGATCCCGTCTCAGAGATCAGATCAACTGCCACAGGGTGGCAGTGCTTGTGTTCCTTATTTTACTTAGCAATGGCTCAAAGTGCAAGAATAATGATGTAATACTTTCAGGCCTTGGTTGACTGCGGGTGACTTAAATCTTGGAAAGTGGAACCACAGATAAGGGGGGACGACTGTAACAGAAACATTTACATAAAAACTCCCTCGTGGCTTTAAAGATGTTCACTCCTCTCTAGATGTAAGGAAACTTGCCAACGGAACCAGTTCCCCTGGCTAGACTGAGGTCTTCGTCTTGTACTTACCAAACACCGCCGTGTGCTTTGTGAAGCAGACATCCCCCACGCCATCTGCCAGACACCTGGCAAACAGGAGAACCACAGTCAGGCCACTCGGCATAGGCCCAGGTCTTGCCCTCCCTTGGGCAGCCCCTCTGAGGCTCTGTCTGGGCCACTGGCTCACAGGGCTTTGCCCAGAGTTCCTGTCAGTCTGTCCTCAGAGCCGACAGTCTTGACACCCACAGCCACACCCAGCCCAGGAGCAGGCAGAGGCCCTAGAAGCCAACAGCCCAGACAACTCCAAGCAGGATGGTGTGAAAGAAGGATCCTCACTTCCTCTTAGAAAGTAGCAGATTTTTAAAAAAATAAAGCCGTAAAGCCTTTTCGTAGAGGATAAAGACTGTATGAACTTGGATTCCCAGCCAGTTTCACTCTGGATTTGAGCAGTAGTTATGGAGTGTGGAGAGAGGCAGGCACGGGTCCCCAGGAAGGGGGATGCTCAGAGGAAGATGGGATTAGGGAGCTTCTGGCCTCTGACCCTGCAGGGAGCCCAAGCCTGTGTCTGCAGATCCCAGAATCCCAGGGATGAGTGTGTCTCCTTAGCCCTCCCTGGCCAGGAGGATAACACGGGCAGAGCCACACTCTGGGGAGACAGGAGGGGCTCCCACATGGATGAGTGCCGAGGGCGGCCATGGAAGGCGCTTGGGACCCTGGGTCTAACGCTGATGCTCTGGGCAGCCTGAGGCAGGCCCTGTCCCCTCCGGTGCCTCTGTTCCCCAACTTCAGAATGAAGAGGGGGAGGAGGAGCAGTGTCACTCACCTGAAGGCGCCTGCATCGCCAAAGTATGGCTCACGGGAGGAGCAGGCACACTTGTCTGTCCCTTCCCCAGCACACAGCTGACACAGGCTGGGAAACTTCTGTCCGTCTGCACAGGGGACGCAGCTGCTGGAGAAGAACTCAGCCACTGTTGGTCAACACAGAGACACGGACACAGGGCATGAGCTGGCTGGGCCTCCAGGCTGTGGGTGTGTGAGTGTGGCCCTGTCTGAGAGCCTGAGCGTCTGCACACACTTCCCAGGAGCAGCTGAGGAAGGGGGGAATGACCAGGCCACCAGTACAACTTGCTGAAGGAGACTGACAACAGCCGTGCTGGAGAGAGGGCATGGCCCAGGGTGCCATGAGTTTGGGCATCACATTCACATGTGCGCCCAGGGCTGGAGGCCACGGCCATGTTTCCCCAGCTTATCTACTGCTGGCCTGCACTGAACCAAGACTGCGGTCTCAGTGCCTCTCAGTTCTGTTAACTCACCAACATGGAGGCTCCAAAGACAGAACCCTAACACAGCAGGAGCCCTTGAAGGCCAGCCCCACAGCCCTTCCTTACATGCTCCCCAACCCAAGGTTGCCCACCTCCCCTCCTGTATCCAGAGGCTGTGGTGGCTCATGGAGACACTCTTTGGGAGAGAGTTGAGACAGCTTGTTGGTGAGGGGAACAGAATCATGCCAACAGCCAAGGCATGACTGCCCGGTCAGATGTCCGGGAGTATCTGACATGAGGCACGTGAACACCTCTAGAAAGCACAAAGCATGGTCATAGCTGCCACCTAGGCTGCAGCACTTATCAGGTCCCTGCAGCCGCTTGTCCCTGTCACAGTAGACACAAATACTGCAGAAGGTAGCAGGGCTCAGAAGCAGAGCACAGAAAGATTTGGTCATCGTCTTCCAAGGTCTGAAACGTACCCTGGGCTTGTCATAACTGAATAAGAGAACTGGAAGACACAAAATGCCCCAGCAGTGGCCCTGTTATTCCTTCCTTCTCATGTCTTAAGCCCTCACCTAAGGTACAGAGGCCTGAGTGCTGGCAGTGTGGCTGCGATCCCCAGTGAGTCTTCCTGGGAAGCAGAGAGGGAGGTGGCCTTTCTCAGTGGGCGTCAGTGGTGGCCCTTGTCAAGCCCAGGCTGCTGGGATTACCAGGAAGGTGGGACGGACAGGAGCTCAGAGAGACAGAGGCATATTTGCTGAGAGGAGAGTCTGCCGTCAGTTCCCATGGGTTGCTGGTGCACAACCCCAGCCAGTGCCCAGCTAAAGCAGGTTGCCTTTCTATCTTGGATGGCAGCAGCGTGACCCCAGCATGACCCATGTGGCGTCTGGCATACGAGTCCCGTCTGAGGGCACCAGGCCCAGCTTGCTTACCTGCTTCAAGAGAGCCAGAGGGACGCAGCATCCCGACAGGGATGTTCCACCTGGCAGACCGGCCCAGGCCCAGGTGGCAGGCCTTCTTGCCTTGGAGCTGGCTCAGCTGGAAGCTGGTGCCCTTCTTCACCATGGCAACGATGTAATGGCGGGTTTGTGGATCTGCAGAGGAGCAGAGGGGAAGAAGGGCAAGGGAAGAGGCCGCATCGCTGCTGCTCATCTTCCAAAGTGTGTACGATGGAGAACTGTGGGGACCTTAGGACCTATACCCTCCCCTGCTAAGCAGGCAGAAAAGCTCTTCGTTGTCAGGGGAGAGAAAACCATCCCTTTTCAAAGCGATCAACACGAGTTCTTTTTCTGCTGTCCCTCCAAACCAGAGGAGACAGGCGCCCGCGCGGCACCAGCTATCACAGGGCAGAGCATGTTCAGAGACAGCTTCAGTGCCAGCCATGGTGATGTCACTGCCTATCTCAGGGGCTTTTGTCCCTTCTCTCCTCCTCTGTCTGCAGCTTGAACTCATGAAAGGAAGGATGCAGGGCGGCCCCCAGGAATCTTCCAGGGCCCTGCAAATTGGAGTCGAACTGAGTCCAAGCTGGAGTCCAACTGAGGTGAGCTGTGCTCACACACTGATGAAACTGGTGGACAAGTCCAGGAAAGCGACCAGGTTCCGTCCTCAGATTCCCCGCAAAGCCTCTCCCCCTGCACAGACACAGTCTCGTGTTCTATAGCACACGAGGGGAACGTGGCGCTGACCTTGTGTCTCTAGAGAGGGGCTCCCACGGATGTGACTCCTGGGTGAGTGATGGATTCTGGACACCCCCTTAAGCTGGGGTACCCCACAGCCAGCAGCACCAACAGCATTTCCATCAGAATGTACCAAGTGTGCAGTTGCCCAGGGAAATCTAATATCCTAGCCCTATCGGTCAGTCTCAGAGATGGACTCTTCCATCCAAAGAGCTCCAGCAACTTTGTTCCCTGCTAGAGTCTTGTGGACAGAGTCCCTGCTCCCCTTCATGTCCCCAGGGAAAACACGTCATTTTTTTTATTATTCCTTTTTAAAACACACCATCTTTTGAGCCATAGAATTCTGCCACAGTGGGCTTCAGATTATAGGGGTCCAGGCCCGCCTCAAACACCAAATCTCCACCAACAGTCACAGCATCCGCTTCGTTTGCCTGAAGGAGAAGAGATGAGACCATGAATGACATCCCTCCCTTCTGAGGAAGACTCCCTCGACCCTCTGTTGAAGATACTCGCTCAACAGACACCTGCATGGCTCCTTCCCTTCCCTCAAGTTATGCTCAAATGTTACTTCCTCAGCAAAGCCTCTCCTGAACTCACTCTTCAAGCCCTCTCCTCCCTGTACTTCGGATACCACTCTGTTCTCCTCCTTATCTCTTCTCAACCCTCTGATGCTCCTTCTTTGATTAATTTTTGTCTTGCCATCTGGAATGTAAGCCCCTTGCAGGCTGGGACAATTTTGTCTGTTTCTTTTTCTGCTAAATCCTAGCACCTAGAAGAGCACCTAGGTTGCTGGGCCTGTGGGTGAATGAATGAATGAGCTGTAGAGTCTTTCCATCTATAAGAAACCATGTTTTACACTCATATTGGGATTCCCTCTGCAGGGCTCTGTCAACCTAGAGTTCCTTTTTTTCACAAAAAAGGAACAAAAACTGAGAACAGCCTCTTCTCAGAATTGAGGTTGAATCACTTCCCTACCCCTGATGGAAATCATTCTTTTTATTCATTTATTAATCCACATGTAAGGAACTTGGGTTTTTCTGAACTTAGTATTGCTTACTATTGACTTGTCTCCCTTTCCTCCATTTCACTTTTTCTTGTAAATATTTTGCAACATATATATATATGTCTGCATATCCATATATACATGTATGTATACTTGTATCTGGGTGTGTGTGTGTATAAAGTTGAGACTCTATTGGATGCATGTATCAGAGACCAACTCAGATTAACTTAAGAAAAGGAGGGATTTCACACCAAGGTAAAAGGACAAGAAGGCCACTGGACCCTGGGAACACCATCAAAGTCAGAGGTAACAAGAACTGACACAGGTTTCAGTCCATCCCTGTGGGCTCCAGGCTGTTCTCTCCTTTTCTACTTTACACACGTCTTCCTTTCCTGGCTCCTTCCTCTTCAAGCCCCAATATCAGATGCAAAAACACAACCGTCTTATAGAGATTGCTAACTAGCTGCCACGACTGTATGAGGACAAACCCATGACAAATCTCTCTCCTCTCTCTCTCTCTCTTTCTCTCTACACACACACACACACGAATTCAAGAAAAACAAACAGATAAAAATTTGTGTGCATCCTTTTGACCCTTACTGAATATTTCTAAATTGTTTCCCGAAAATGATGTAGAAATGTATGATTTATAATGCCAATAGCATTGCATGCCAATTTCACTGCAAACCTACCAGTGAGAAGTGTTATCATCGAAGAATGTCATTATATTCTAGATATAAACCATTATTTAAAGAATTGTTTATTTCATTTTTTTGTTTATTAAAAAGGATGAATGTTTTTCCTTTATATTGTTTTAATGATGTCGTTTCTTTTCTGTGAGTTTGTTTATAGTTTGCACTTGTTAAACATTTGTATAAGTTTGAATGACATCTTTATATAGTTTTTACAGTATGCTGGTATGTTGTAGATGATGTGAATTTTTTTAATGCTTAAGGATTTTTTAAGATATTTCTTTGTCACACTTAAAATGTTTTTCATTTTTAAACTTGTCTACTTTTGAGATTTATCTAGTTATATCTATCTATTTTAATCAAGTTGAGTCCAGTTGGAAATTTATTTTGGTGAAGGATAAAGAATCTCATTTGATTTTTTTTCTAAAGGCTTACCCAGTTATTTAACTGAAGAATCTTTCTCAGCCATTTGCTTGGAAAGTTTACTTTATAATGGCTATCTAAATCTAGTATACATGTATTAAAACATCATATTGTTTTCCATAACATATGTACAATTATTATCTGTCAATTAAATTTTAACTTAATTTAATCAAAAATAAATCTACATGTATCTTATCTAAATGTATTAAGCCTAGATTCCTAATGTTTAATGTTTATCATAGTTTGCATCTAAATCATACCATGCAGATAATTAGACGGATGGATAAACAGAGAGCTGAGAAAATGTCTGAATTTTTTGTTCTCTTCCAGGTCTTTTATGTATGTATGTGTGTATGTATGTATATATGTATTTATTGAGTTGAGTCTCATTATGTTGTCCAGGTTGGAGTGTAGGGCAGTGAAACAATTATGGCTCACTATAGCCTCGACCTCCTGGGCTCAGACGATCCTTCTGCCTCAGCCTTCCAAGGAGCTGGGACTACAGGTGTGTGCCACCATGCCTGGCTAACTTTTCTATTTTTTTTGTAGAGATGAGGTCTATGTTGCCCAGGCTGGTCTTGAACTCCTGGGTTCAAGTGATCAACCTCGGCCTCCCCAAATGCTAGGATAACAGGCATGAGCCACCACAGTCAGCCTCTTCCAGGCCTTCTATCTCTGCCCAGATCCCCTGTTCTTTCTAACATTATGACTATAAAATGGTGCAGTTTCAAGTGGGGCTCAGCCACTCCGTAACTACTTTTCTTTTTTGTTTTTGTTTTTCTGAGTTGGAGTCTTACTCTGTCGGCCAAGGTGGAGTGCAGTGGCACACTCACGGCCACAGCAGCCTCGACCTGCTGTGCTCAGGCTATCCTTCCTCCTCAGCCTTCCAAGTAGCTGGAACCATAGACATGCGCCACCAGTCCCAGCCGATTTATTGTAAAGATGAGGTCTTGCCATGTTGCTCAGGCTGGTCTCGAACCCCTGAGGTCAAGCAATCCTCTCACCTCCCCCTCCCAAAGTGCTGGGATTACAGGCATGAGCCACCATGCCCAACTAATTTTTATTGATTTATTGCAGAGACGAGGTCACACCAAGTTTCCTAGGCTGGTCTCGAACCCCTGAGCTCAGACAATCCTCTCACCTCCACCTCCCAAAGTGCTGGGATTACAGGTGTGAGCCACCGTGCCCAGTCTACTTTTGTTTTTCATATAATCTCATCCATGTTCTTTTACTTAAGAATTTTATAATTATTTTACTGGTACTTTTAATAAGATAGTATTTTGATGGAAATTATACTAAATGTATGAATTAACTTTGGGAGGGTATGTAAGTACATGATAATCAGTTTGTCCATCTTGGAATAGGGCATATGTTCTCATTTGTTAATAAACATTGCTCACTTGTCACAAACTTTTATATTATACTTAAAACAGCCTTGCAGATCTTGCATATAACACTTTTCCATAATATGTTTCTGAGCCAGGCTCGGTGGCTCAGCCTGTAATCCCGTGCCTTGGGAGGCTGAGGTGAATGGATTGCCTGAGTCCGCGGGTTCGAGACCCACTTGGGCAACTTGGTGAGAGCTCATCTCTACAATAAATCAAAAAATTAGCCGGGTGTGGTAGCACACCCCTGTAGTTCCAGCTACCTGGAAGGCTGAGGCGGAAGGATCACCAGAGCCCAGCAGGTAGAGGCTGCGGTGGCCAGGAGCGGCCACTGCACTCCAGTCTGGGCGACGGAGTGAGACTCCAACTCAAAAAACAAACAAACAAAACAAAACAAAAAAATAAAAGAAATACGTTTCTGTTTGTTACTTTAAATGTAAATGAGATCACAAGTTTGGGATATTAACCACAATAATGAATTATTGGTATATGAGATGACATTCGTGGTTCTATATTTATCTTTTACCAAGCTAATTTAATCGTTAGTAAAATTTAGCAAAATTTCCTTTGATCTCACTGTGTTTTCTAGGCATTCAATCACCTGAAAATATTGGTATTTTTATTCATTTCTTTCTTATATGCTGGTTTTTATTGCATTACCAGAACTTCCAAAAACAGTGCCAAGTAATGACAGTAATCCTGGAGCTTTCTTGTTCACTTGAGTCTTTGCCTTTCAGTGTAATTATGCTTTTACTATCAGTGAATGCTAAGCAGTTTTATCTTCTCAACACACAATCCCTGTCCTTTCAGATCTCTGGCTTGTTTCTTTTTCCCTCTAAAGCATGGTCTGCTTCCTGTAGGGAGAACGCAATAAACAACAGCAAGTACAGAAAAAGAAAGTCTCGACTTTCTTCTGCTTTCTTTTAGGCAGCGGTGACTCACCGTGATGGCTTTGATGCACTCAAGATAAGAGGCTCTCTTCACACAGCTGACAAGGGGACCCTCCGGAAGGACTTTTTTCATGCTGTCACGGAAGCTGGAGCACTTCATGGCCTCGTGATCTGACACAGCACACCATTTCACAGTTTTCTCAGGGTCAACCAGACACAACCCTAGGGTAGAGAGGCCAGAGATGTAAGGGACCCAGAGCATTTACCTTTTACTCCTGGCAGAAGAGTTTAAAGCTGAGACAAAGTTGAGTGGGGCACACACAAGTTGGACAGGTTGCCTGGCCCAGCTCACGTGAATTCTTGGGGCCCATCTCTTTCCTTCTTCCCTACCCCTAAAAAAGCCAAAAGCATCCTCCAGAAGTTGTCTAGAGTTAGCACACAACACAGTAATTCCGCTCCTAGGTATATCTCCAAGAGAACTAAAGTCAGGGGCTCACACAAATATGTGCACGTAAATGTCCATAGCAGCACTATTCCAAACAGCTGAAAGGTGGATACAACCCAAATATGCATCAAGGGAGGAATAGATAAATCAAATGTGGCACAGCCATGCAGTGGAATTTGATTACGCCATCAAAATAACCACGTAAGTGAAACTCAAAACATCACGTTAAGTGAAAGAAGCCAGACACAGAGGCCACCCATTACATGATTCCATTTATATGAAATATCTAGAACTAGACAGAGAGAGAAAGCAAATCAATTAGTGGCTGTCACATGCTTGGGGGAAGGAAATGAGTACTGACTGCTCAGTGGCGACAGGGTTTTCTTTTAGGGTGATAAAAAACATTTGGAACTAGAGAGAGGAGGTGATGGTTGCACAACGTTGTAAATGTGTTAAAACACCACTGCATTGCACACTTCAAATGGTTCCTTTACATGATGTGAATATCACCTCAAAAAGGAAAAAAAAAATCTTCCTACCTATGAGTAGGAGGTTTTGGGCACACTGACTTAGTTTTTATCTTAATGTCAGATACTCTAACTTTACATGGTACCAATGGCTGGGACATTAAAATTAGTAGCTGCTTATTTCACTGGCATTGTAAGCCACAATAATTAGTGTAGAGAGCATTACAAAAGGCAAAATGTTATTTGCAAATCTGTAATATTTGGGCAAAATGTTATTTTAAGTGACATCTAGAAGGTGAAATTTGCAATGATGACAGCTACCATTTTTTGGATGGGCCCCTGCATGTCAGGCAGTGTGCCAAGCACATTCCCTTTCTCTAAATTCACAATTCTCCTGTCATTTAAGTACCATTTCTGTTTCAGAGATGAATTTTTTAAAAAACTGTCAGAGACATCAAATAACTGGAGAGGAAGCTAACATTTGGACCACCAAGGTCTGTTTGACTCCAAAACCCATACTACCTTTTAACTGTCTTTAAATAGGAAATACCAAAATCAATAGGACAGGAAAATGTCAAATTAGCTTAGACAGAATCCCACACCAAAGCAGAAGAGGAACAAATAGAACCCCTCAAATTTATCTGAAAAAGCCTCCCATAGTCACAACCCAGGGTGAGAAGAGCAAGCCAGGACATTCAGTTGTGCAGGCCATAAACCCCTGTGCAGAATGTCAAGATAAGGTCTTTTTTGACAGTCTGTATTTTCAGTCGCCACGGTACTTATGCTAAAAACAAGAAAGGAGGAAAAGTTTCAAACAGAAACGTCATGAAAGGTGATATACGAATGGCCAATCGAACGTGAAAAGATGCTCAACATCATTTGTCACCAGAGAAATACAAATTAAAACCACATTGGCGTTTACTTAACAGGCTAAACATATGTCTCACCCGTATGACCCAGTAATCCTAGAAATTTACCCAAAAGAAATGAAAACATGTGTCCTCCCCAAAATGTGTCCACTGTTGTTCAATGACAGCTTCATTCATAATAGTCCCAAACTGGTAACAACCTAGATGTCCATCAGCAAGTGAAGAGGTAAATAAACCGTGGGAAAGCCGTACAATGGAATACCATCCAGCCATAAAACAGGAATGAGTTGTGATACACACAAGAATGTGGATAAATCTCAAAACAAGTTTGCTAAGTGAAAAAGTCCGTTGCAAGGGACTCAGCACCGTATGACTCCACTGATGCGAAATTCTAGAAAAGGTAAAGCTTTTCTACAATGGCAGAAAGTGGGAATGATTGGGAGGAGACAGGGAGCAGTTTAGGGGTAACATACATATTTTTTATATTGATTATGGTAGCAGCGACACGTGTTCATTATGGAGAGTTATATTTGTCAAGATTCATTGAACTGTATGTATACTTAAAAATGAGCACATTATGCTATACTGTACCATCATGCTTCAACAGAAATAATTTTTAAAAGAATTTTTAAAAGAATTTTTAAAAGAAAGAGAAAGCGTGTGCAAACAAGTAACACACTTGAGTCAAGTAATATAGACGAGGTCAATCACTAGAAACGCCCCATCCCTGTCCCTATGACAGTTTCAAGAGGGGGCAGTCCAACTGTATATCTGACAAAGGACCAACATCCAGGATCTACAAGGGACTCAAACGTGCCAAAAGGAAAAAAAAACAAGCAGCCCCATTAAAAAGTGGGCAAAAGCCAGGCTCAGTGGCTCAGCCTGTAATCCCAGCACTTTGGGAGGCTGAGGTGAGTGGATTACTGAGCCTGCGGGTTCGAGACCAGCCCAGGCAAATTGACGAGACCTCATCTCTACAATAAAATAAAAAATAGCTGGGCGTGGTAGCATGCGTCTATAGTTCTGGCTACTTGGAAGGCTGAGGCAGAAGGATCACGGGAGCCCAGCAGGTCGACGCTGGGGTGGCCGTGAGCGTGCGTGCCACTGCACTCCAACCTGGGCGAAGGAGTGAGACTCCAAGTCAAAAAGAAAGTGGGCAAAAGACATGAATAGACACTTCTCAAAAGAAGATATACAGGCAGCCAACAGACACATGAAAAAGTGCTCGGCCTCACTAATCATCAGAGAAATACAAATCAAAACCACATTGAGATACCACCTAAGCCCAGTAAGAATGGCAGTCATTAATAAAACAAGCAACAGACGCTGGCGAGGATGCGGAGGGGTAAAAGGAACGCTTCTACACTGCTAGTGGGAATGCAAACTAGTTCAACCTCTGTGGAAAACAGTGTGGCAATTTCCTAAAGAACTAGACATTGACCTTCCATAAGATCCAGCAATCACGCTACTGGAAATATAGCCAGAGGAACTCAAATCATTCTCCAAAAAAGATACCTGCACACCCATGTTTATTGCAGCACTATTTACAATAGCAAAAACATGGAACCAACCGTGCTACCCATCAAAACTGGACAGGATTTTTTTTTTTAATGTGGTATATATACACAATGGACTATTATGTAGTCATAAAGAAGGAGAAACTTATTGACTTGTCTGCAACTTGGATGGATTTGGAGTCTATCATACTCAGTGATCTATCACAGAAACAAAGAACTGAGTAGCATGTGTTCTCACTCCTAAGTGGACCCTGAACATTCACTATAGTACTGTAAGAAAGGGAGGCAGTAGCGGGACACTGCCGGGGAGGGGACACATAACATCAATAAGGGTCCCTGATCTCAAATCAGGCAAAGTGGGGACCAAAGGGAGGCCCAAACTTTACCTGTACGATGACCACTTATATACCTAATCCTGAATGGTATCCCACATCTTTTTTTTTTGAGTTGGAGTCTCACTCTGTCGCCCAGACTGGAGTGCGG